ACCCTGGCGCGTCAGGGGGGAAGCCAAGGAAGACGCAAGGAGCAGCACGAGGGGACAGCTTGTCCGCAGACAAGTCGCGGACAAACGCCCGAGATCCCCAGACACGGAACGCAGACGCATCGCCAACCTTCCCCGTCCACAGCAAAGCTGGGGAGGTCTCTGGCATGGAGACCCTGGGGTGAAGGTTGATCTGATGCGCCGCGTACCGAACCGCAAACGGCCACAGAAAATGGGGGGCAGCCGCATGCATCATGGACGTACGGGCGACGTCCATGACCATGCCAATGCGGCGCTCAGCAATCCCATTTTGCTGTGGAGAGTCCGGAAGCGTGAAGGTCTGGCGGATGCCTCGTGCACGACAGTAGGCTCGCAGAAGGCCAGAGGAGAACTCTCCACCTCTGTCAGAGTGCAGACGCAGAACAGGAAAGTCCGAGCCGAAGCTCTGCCTGAGCTGGAGACGAGCTGCGCGGATCCAGTCGATCAACACCTCAGTGACATCACCCTTGCTGCGCAAGGGGAAGACCGTGGTGTAACGCGAGTAGTCGTCAACCACCAGCAGGAAGTAGCGCTCGTGACCCTGTCCACGGACGTGGGCCGGGCCCCACACGTCCATGTGAAGCGTCTGCAGCGGGGCCTCTGTCGGAGGAAACTGGGAGGAGTGAGGGGCAGCCCGCTGCCGCCCCTCGACACAAGGGACGCAGGTAGGGCCGGGCCCCGGAGGAAGGGGAGGGAGGGACCGGGGAAGACCAGAGACAAGGACACGGGAGGCCATGCCTCGGAGACGAAGCAGGGAGGGGTGACCAAGGCGGTGGTGCCAGAGGAGAGTCTCGTGCGACAGGAGGCGACACGAACAGGGGGCAGACTCAGGACCAGACCTGGACGCTGCAGCAAACACCTGACCCGACGCAGCTACCTGACCAGACGCAGTGACTGGAGGAGACGCAGTGGTCAGTGTGTACAGGCTCGAACCCGGCCGACGTGTAAACGTGGCCAGGTGTCGGCCTGTCCGAGCGTCCGTGCAGTGGGTCACCCGCTGACTCGCAGGAGTGAACTGGTGAACCCCCGCATCCTGTAGGTCAGCACCACTCACCAAGTTCGTAGAGAACGAGGGGAGGTAAAGACCAGACAGGGTGCCAGAGGGGGCCGCCGGACACGGGAGGACAGTGGAGAAGTGAGCAAGGACAGGACCCCCAGAGGGGTCTGCCAGAGAGACTGCAACTGGCCGGCCAAGCGGCGTGAGTGTGGTGCGGTCTCGAAAGAAGGAGCGAGAAGCCCCCGAGTCAAGGGTGAAGGTGTGGGAGGCCGAAGCCGACGCAGTACCTGAGAGAGCAGACTCACCAGCACCTGAGGGAGCAGACGCACGAGCACCTAGAGCAGCAGCCTCGCTAGCACCTAGAGCAGCAGCCTCACCAGTACCTAGAGCAGCAGTCTCAATGCCCGGGTCGGGCGGAAAACACCGGTAACAGTCACCCTCATCACTAATAGTCACAGCATACATGGCAGCAAGAATAGCATCAAAGTCAAGGTCAAAGACAGCTACACCCGCCCTAGACAGCTCGCCCCAGCGGGGGATCTCAGTGGCCTCAGGGAACTGGTGACACCAAGCGTCCGTCAGGCGGCCAAAGCAGCGCTGGGTGGAGTGCGCACCCACGCACTGCTCACCCGCGCGGTCGCCGGTGCGTAGGACGTAGGTGCACGGACCAGTACCCCCACCCCGCTGGCGTGCAGCGTACCACTCACGGAGCTGCTGAGGGGGGGGGATGTCACGAGTGCGCTGCTGCCGCTGCTGCTGCTGCTGCTGGCGCTGACCACCACCGGAGCCGACCCTCTGCCCAGCGCCACCCCGACCAGCTCCACCTCCTCCGCCGCCGCCTCCTCCACCGCCGCCACCTCCGCCACCTCCGCTCCCACCGCCACCGCCGCCGCCGCCTCCGCCTCCACTGCCGCCACCGACACCTCCACCCCCGCCACCACTCCCACCACCACCCCCACCCCCTCCACTGCCGCCACCGCCACCTCCGCCACCCCCGCCAGCCCCTCCAGCACCCGTGCCCCCCTTGCCCTTGCCGGTGCGGCGTCTCCCGCTCGGGGCAGACGCAGCGCCGACCGACTCGAGACCAACGAGGTCGGCCGCAGCAGCAGAGGCAACAGAGGGCAAAAGGGGGGAGGGGGAACACCCCTCAAAGACGGGGGTGCGAGGGTCACCACGAGAGGCTCCTACAGCGACTATGCTCTTCTCTGCTGCTAGGAGGGCCTTCTCGAGGAGGTCAACGGTGAGAGTGGTGGGGCAAACTGAGAGGAAGTGGTCCCTGACTACGCGAAGGGAGTCAGGGAGCCGGGTGACTATGTAGTAGAGGGTGATGTACATGGGGGGGGGTTCTTGGCGCAGAACTCAGCAGGAAGCGCAGCGCGGTAGCGAGTGTCACTAGTGCGGAGGTGCGTAATGAGGTCAGCGACTGTGGGAAAGGCAGCAAGGTCAGGGAAGAGGTACGGTAGCATGAGGCGGCTCAGTGCAGCAGTGGCAGGGGAGGAGTAGCACGCAACTACAGCGTCGTACAAGGTGTGAGCACTCTTGTACTGGCTAAAGTGCGCACGCTCAGAGGTAGGCAGGTGGCGACGCACAGCTAGACGTGCAGCAGCATCGCGTGTGGCCCACTGTGAGCGAACAGTGGCGTCGGCATCAGCAGCAGGGGCAGGAGAGGCACCAGAGGTGAGGTCAAAGAGGGAGAGACCGTCTGCCCTATCGCACTGTAAGAAAAGCTGCAGGTCATCTACCCAGACGTCAAAGTCAATGGCCCGACCCTCAGCGTCAAAGGCGAGGACACTAGGGGTAGCCATGACAGCAGTAGACTAGCAGTGCGAACAGTAGGGTAAGGGCAGTGCAGTGATAGAGGCGCTGCTCTTACCGGACAGGGCGGCTCGGGCTGCTCGGCGGCTCGGCGGCTCGGCAGGACGGCGGGTCGGCGACACGGCGGCTCGGCGGCTCGGGCGGCTCGGGCGACTCGGCGGCTCGGGCGGCTCGGGCGGCTCGGCAACTCGGCGGCCCGGGCGGTTCGGCGGACGGCTGCTGGGCGGCTCGGCGGCTCGGCTGCTCGGCTGCAGGACGGCTCGGCGGCTCGGGTGCTCGGCTGCTGGGCGGCTCGGCGGCTGGTGTGGTTGGTGACGACCACGGCAGCAGTCGCAGAAGCTGTGGTGACTGCTGCTGCAGAGACGGCTACGGCTGCTGCCTCAGGGACGGCGGCTGCCGGCCGCTAGGGGCCGCAAAGAGCGGCGGAGAGGCCGTAAAGGGCGCCACGAGGGGCCGTCGAGGGCGGCGACAGGCCGTGAGGAGGCCGCGGAAGGCGGCTCGAGGGGCCGCGAGGGGGCCGTAAGGGGCCGACTGGCGACGGGAGGGGCCGAAGGGGCCGCGGGAGGGCCCGTAAGGGTAGCGCGAGGGGCCGTAAGGGCGGCACGAGGGGCCGTAAGGGCGGCACGAGGGGCCGTGAGGGCGGCGCGACGGGCGCGACGGGCCGTAAGGGCGGCGCGACGGGCCGTAAGGGCGGCACGAGGGGCCGTGAGGGCGGCGCGACGGGCGCGACGGGCCGTAAGGGCGGCGCGACGGGCCGTAAGGGCGGCGCGACGAGCCGTAAGGGCGGCGCTAGGGAGCCGTGAGAGGGCCGCTAAGGGCGACGCGACGGGGCCGTGAGGGGCCTAGCGAGGGCGCGACGGTAGGGAGAGCACACAGGGCGCGACTCGGGCCGGAGCGAAGCGCGCTCCGGGCAGGAAAAAAAAAATTTCGTGGTGGTGGGCCCTAGGAATCGTTCCCACTAGGGAACCTGCTCGATACCATGAGAAGAAACGAGGAAATGGATTGACTAAGGGAAAGTTGGGTACAAATGTGAACCCTAGAAAACTGTACCCCATATGGGCTACCCCACTATAGCCTACAGTAGCTATGTCATATAAATCTGACAGTTACCTTACGAGTTTCACCCGTCTAAAAGTGATATTCTTAGGGACATTATGCATCTCAATCGAACAGCGTACAATCTAATAGGAACAAGAAATTGCAGATGTTTTAACAAGTTACCGAGAACTGTCGCGAAACTATTTCGTAATACTACGGACAAAACTGCGCGCGCGAGAAAACTTTCCTTAAATCTCTACAGTGGCTTGAGTAGTTTCAACTTTCTATCGATCGTTTCAACGAGTGACCAAACGTGATAGCTTTGTGTGACCATCCGTGATAGCACTGTGATCACCCGCGATACAAATATACTGTACTGTGACTGTTTGTGATGCCCCTGTGACCAGCGTGATGAACCGGGCTTAATTGTGACTGCCCATATAGTTTCCCGTGTTCCATACGGTGATCCGACAACCCTGAGTAGCGCGGGAAAAACGCCAAGTACCCCATCGGTGTGTAACTTGTCCAGAAACGCTCAAGTTGCTGAGACCAACAGACACGCGTAATCATTGTATGCGTATCGCGACAGAATCTACCACACACAACCCTACGAAAATTCGAGAAACCCTAAAGCAGTAGCACTACTTGCGACAGAGTGACCAGTTCGTGTTTGCAAGTGTAGAAAAAGGGTGGGTCGATCGGATTTATGGAATTTTAATTTGTGCTGACGTGGTGCACGAGTGGTCGACAGGATTGACACAAATTCGAAAACCGGCGAGTCGCGCAATAAAGCCGGAGATGAGAGAAGCAAATGAACGGTGATGATGCAGCATCTGCGAGGTGGATGGACCGCTCGATAGATATGGGAGCATTCCGAGTGTGAGACTCAGTCTGAAAAATCACAAGGCCGAAATCGCAGGGAAAACGAGGATACCCCGTTGAACGGGGGGGGGGGGGGGCAACGCTAGGATTCTGCGACCAATTTTTTTGGGATGCTCTAGTTTTGCCTTAGAGTTATAAACACAGCTGGGTGGGCTCCATCTGGGAAGTAGCATCATCACAACACGTAACCGAATGTAATTCTTTGCCTAGTGCTACCAAATTTTGAAACGCCATGGCCGCTCACAATTCCCGCCGCTGGCTCTTCCTCTCCGTGCTCGACCTGCCGCCGCTCCCCACGCTCTCCTTCACGCCGCTCCTCACCACCCCACTGCCGCCGCCAGCCCGCCGCTCTTATTTCAGCCAGCGCGTGAAGCTCGCCATTGTCTCGCTCGTCGTACTAGCCATTGTTAGCATCGTCACCGTCATCTTCGCCGCTAGCTGGAGCGCGGCGGACGCCGCTGCCAGCAGCTACCCCATCTCACATACCGACGGTGAGGGGAACCGGCGTCCCTCGGTTCTCTTAGGATCGTAAACACCTTAGTCGGCAATAGTCTACTTGCTATTGCTTATCGTGTTCTCCACGATCTCCCAAATCCAACGATATGCGCAGCTCTGCTTGAAGTTGTCAATACACACTTCAGCAATTTCAGAATCTCAATGTTGTCCAATGTTGTGATTTCCAGAATGAGTACAAGCAGTTTTATGGTCAGGCAAGACACAAAATGCGATTCGTAACTTCACTTGTTTCCCAAGTAACCGCGTGTGCCTCGTTTCACCCCGAGTCGCACACGGAACCGAACCGAATGCACCGAACACTTCTTGAGTCCGAATCTCGAACATTCTCGAACGCGCCTCAAGCTCGAACCACAATTTCCCCCGTCGATCTCATTCTCGATGCTTATCCTTCTCTATTCCTCCTTCCTGCACATTCCTTCTCGATTTCCTTCCCGCTTCTCACGCCGTAGCTTCTATTCTCCACCGTAGGTCGATTTCCCCTTCTTAGATCTAAAATCTCCCACGCACTCCATTCCGCCGTCATTCCGCATCTCGCCGTAGGTTTCGTGGTTCGTCGAACCAACCCTAACAGGTTCTTCGTGTAATGTCTGATTGGCAACGACATGCCGCCGCTGCAGTGCGACGGGCAGCTGTTTCAAAACACGCTGTACGCGCTGCAGCACGAGCCGAGGGACATTCCGGACGTGCGGCGGTTGTGGTTGATGAACCACTTGCTGAACGACACGGAGCAGCAGCGCATCGTGCGTGCCATCCTAAGCCACGGGTACTCTGAAAATGTGAGAGAATGCACCTCCGAGGTGTAGCAAGTCACTTTGGTGTAGCTCTTCATCCACAACACATCACAAAACTCATGTTTGTACTCAAATGCACATCCTAGCAAGTCACTTTGGTGTAACTCTTCATCCGCAACACATCACAAAACCCATGTTTTGGTCCGACCTAATCGGCGTAAATGCGGGCAGTTTTTGGTATGTCGGTTTAGATTCATTGGTAGGACATTGGTCACTTGAGATTTTGAATCAGGCTCGGTGTTTGAGAGAACACACGTGCCCCACACTTCATCCTCAACATGATCAAGCTCTCCTTGTGTGCGTCACGCAGGACATCATCTACACCCGCCTTAACTACACTCGCCTCGCCTCCATGGCTCCACATGAATGGATTAACACCGTCACAGGTGAGCATGCCTGTCACAGGATCCGTCAGAGATGCACGCCGGCCAATATTCCTCTCACGCTGCCCTCGCGGCACGATGCATCCCCACGCCCCTGGCAGAGCTGAACGAGGCGCGCAATCTGATGATAGAGCATGGGCGGGAGCACGGCGCTCGGTGGGTGTTGCCCATGGACGGCAACCACTTCCTCACACGCGAGGCGTGGGCCTTCATAGCTGCTGCAGCCAACAGGCACGAGGCCCGTGGCAAGACCGTTTTCAAGGTGAAATGCCATTGCAAAGGCCCAATGCGTTTAATAACTCTGAGTTATCCCCCCCTCAAGTACTGGCCCATGCGTTCCTTTCATAGTTTATCCTCAATGCTTGTGAAGTTACGAAGGCATGATAACATCACAGAGGTGTGTGAGGCATCACATGCCACGGTGCAGTGACCCTTGACTGTGTGCGTGCACCATGCGCTGCCCACGCCTCCTCCAGATCCCTAGAGTGAAGCTGGACAAACCTCAAACCCCTGATATCATCAACGGCAGCACCCTATTCTCCGACCTCTTCCCGCACGCGCCGTCAATGCACGAGGGCATTTTGGCCTTTCGCAACGTCTCACCACACCGCTTCCAGCCAGGTACCCTTCCCCCACACCGCTTATGCCGCTGACCATGCTCTCTGCCAGGTGCAATTGTTACAAAATCATGACGCATGGTACGAATGTTTGCTGCCATCGCCCTGCTGCCTCTGAGCATGCCGATATCCCCCATGTGCCTCATGTGGCTCTCTACCGAGTGCATCCATGCTATGCCTTTTACACTCGGTTGAGCACGCTCTGGTCCCTCCGTGCTGCCATGCCCTGGTCCCATGGCCGTGGCTCTGTTCCCCGCCCACCTGCGCATGCTGCAGGGCTGGGTACGGTAGGCGGAGCAAGCTGGAGGCCTTCAGCCGCATCTGTGGCACTGGCAACCCGTACACGGTACAGCAGATTGCACACCACGTGGGTCTCACACGCCTCCTGTACCCGGACGCAACCCCTCAGCCAGCAGACACGGGCGAGTGCGGGTGCCAAAGCGAGACGGGCAGCGAGGAGGCCATTCGGCCCATGCGCATGGCCGTGCTGCGCGCATGTGGTGTGGTCGTGCGCCTCTGGTACTATCCGTGTGCGCACGTGGATACCCGCAGAATGATCTACGATGGACGGTACCGCTTCCAGCAACGTCAAAAGGCGCTTCTTCTTCTGCGAAGCCGAATAGAAGAGCAGATCAAACAAGCCATGGCAGAGCAGTCGAGTTAAAGCACAGGAGACGACAAAAGAAGTCAATAAAGGAAGTGTGGTATGCTATTCATATCCTTCTGTGTGCCCATGAAGTTTCACTAAAGGGGCGATTATTTCTTTCTAAGGCACTGGCGAGGGTCGGCTGCAAACCAGGAATTTTTTTCTTTCTTGTTTCCGTTTTCACTACTCTGAAAATCAGAGAAAGAACTAGTTCTTTCACTATTCGATCAGAGTATTTTACTCTGAAACACAATTATTCTATGTGTGTCTGTGGTTATTGGGTTAATACCACACCCTCAGGTTCGTTTTGAGCTGTCTGATTTGTCAGCTTCAGGACATAGTTTTAGGCAGATCTTTCAAAGTTCAGGGTTGCTACAAGGCTGATTGCATTTACAGTTCATTAGCGGCTTTTTATTATGCTCGATACAAAACACAAACTGCATTCTCTAAAATCATACTAGTGCCATTCCTGCACATATCATTTCAGTCAAATCCATCATCGCTATCATAAGAAGCATCATCTCCTAGATCTACCACTTCAGCATCTGCCAACTCCTTGCCCTTCCAAATCTGATGCTGTACTGCAGAGATAGGTGTGTTGCTGTAGGGCTTGCACCTTTTGTAGCTCCTTCAGATATCCACAATCTTGTTACAATCCCACTGGGGACTTGGCCAGAATCGTGCTCAGGGTTGATTGCAGAGTGATATTGCAGCGGAAGTGATTGACTCCTAGTCAGAGTGAATGTAAAATGACTGAAGTGACAATCACAAGCAAATACATAGGCTTATATATGGTTACTAAGGAATACGAAACGACCTCGCTAGCCATGTACTCTAAGGGGTACATTCCCTTATTACATAGAAATTCAACCGTGCGGTGCGTGAACCCGTTTCAAACCTGTTCCCACCTTTTACCACTCGAGTGTTTCTGCCTGCATCGGTCTTCATCTGACAACTGTCTTTGTCGGTTCGGTTCGCCTGACTCCTTGGCTTCGTACTTGGTAGTGCTGGCTCCTGTTACGTACAGGAATGCTCTTCACATACTTCTTTATCGCAACACCCCCCTTCATTCCTGGGCGTAGCAGGTTTTGACTTTCTTGACACTCCGCTGAGGTTGGCGCAGTGCTGGTACTGCTGACGTGGCAGTCGCTTGGTGAGGAAGCCAGATGCCATGTCAGTGGTGGGGCAGTACTTCGGATCGACTTTGCCCTTGTCGATTTTGTCTTTGACGAAGAAGTACCGCAACGCGATGTGCTTCGTTCGATTGACGAAGTCGGGCTTGTTCGCGATCTTGATCGCGCTTTGATTGTCGCAGTGGAGGCGAAATGTTGGGGGTGTCAAGAATTTTGCCTGATGTAGGAACTCCTGTAGGTAGAGTGCTCTGCGAACCGCAGTGATGGCGGCGATGAGTTCTGCTTCGGCTGATGACAGGGCAACCAGCTCCTGCTTCTGCGAGTTCCAGGAGATTGGTCCCGTTGGCCTGAGTCGGAAAATGAAGCCCGTTCGTGACCGTCGGTTGTCAGGATCAGCGGCTTGATATGCGTCCACGTATCCGACGAGGTTGAAGAATGGCGTTGTAAGAGTTTTGTAGGAGAGCCCGATTTTGGGCGCGGAAATGAGGTGCTGCACGGCGCGCTCGAGATCCAGCAGGTTCTCTACCACTGGCTTGCGGGAATACTGTACCAGTTGGCTAGCGATGTAGGACAGGTCGGGCCTGCAGGTGACGGAGGCGAACATAAGGCATCCCATTTGCTGCTGGTAAAGGTGGAGTCCTGCAGGTGACAGCGGTTTGTTGTCCGGTTTGTGGTTGGGTCCAGGCGAGTGGTAAGGGGTTGAGAGTGGTGCTGGCAAAATCTTGAACCGCTCCCCCAGTGACTCGGCGTACTTGGAAGCTGAGATATGGATGGCTTCTGGCGTGTAGGACATGTTGAGTCCTAGGAACTGCATCACGTTGTGATTGGTGGTGATGTCGACGCGCTGGCCCAGGTTCCTTTCGAACTGGTCGAGAAGTGTGTTGCTCATCCCTGTGTACAGCAGGTCATCAACGTACACGGTACACCCCGGGGTCGTGTGGCAGCTGCTTGAAGCCGATGTCCAGTAGGATCTTGTGTAGGTCTTGCTGCCACAGTCGCGGTGCCTGCTTAATCCCGTAGAGAGACTTCTTCAGCTGGCAGACCATCGAGTCTCCTTCCCCATAGGTATGCGGTTGCTCCACGAAAATTACCGCGTCGACTAGTGCGTATAGAAACGCGTTCTTCAAGTCGATCTGTCGAAGTTGCAGATGCCTAGCAGCGGCGATGGCTAGTACACAGAGGTGTGCTGGCTTACAGGGGGGAAGGTTTGGTCGAAGTCGATCTCGTGTCGCTGATCGTAGCCGCGCATGACCCACCTAGCCTTGAAGCATTCGATCGACCCATCGGCATCAGTTTTCACGCGAAATGCCCATTTCCCCGACAGCACCCTCCTTCCTTTCACGGCAGCTCACTCGACTAGTACTCAAGTCTCCCGCAACTCTAGTCCATTCAGTTCTGCGTCCATCGCTGCCCACCATTCTTTGGCGTGAGGCCCGGTTAGAGCCTGCCTCTGATTCTTAGGCTCGATGACTTGCGAGGCATTAGCCATTGCGGTGTGGAGAACGAGTAGCTGTAGTCGCTTCGCCCGTGCCCCAATCTCCTTTAGCAGTTGCCCATGTTCCTCCGTCGCCTCCACCACATCCGCCTTCGTTAGAGGTCCCCCAACCCCCTTCAGTGGATGTTCCCCCCCCCGTCCGCCTTTGGCCTGGCCTTGTCGGTGAAGTTCTTCTGCTTCGCGTCGCGCCAATTCTGTTAGAAAATATATTTTATATATATTTCCGTATAGCTGTATGTGGTTGTAGCTGTAGTGCAGTTATACAGTATCTAGTAGGTGGTGCACCTTCTTCCTTGTTAGTTTGCTATATGTACCCCTGGTCGTATAGTTAATGCAACTCATTCCCAACATTCTTGGCACAAACTCTCTCGACATCGTTGGCCTAGGCTCATAAGCCTAGGCCCTCAATAAACCCCGTTTACTACGTTACGTTTGTATCCTGACATGGTATCAGAGCGGTCCCTCCTAGGACCTAATTTTCATGGGCCCACCAAACCCGCCACCTCCCATGGCGGCATTTTGTTCTGCTGGCGGGGCTGCTAGTGCTAGTAGCGTGCAATTTGCAGTTGCAAGCGCGGATCCTGCTGCTGGCGCGAAATCCGGTTGCATGCACTGTTTATGCTGTACCCGTCGCGCTGCACCCGTCGCGCTGCACCCGTTGCCCTGCCCCACATCGCCTGCTCGTCGCCTGCCCATCGCCTACGCGCTGCACCGTCCCCCCGCCCCTCGACCCGCCGCTGCCTTCCCCGTCGCCCTTCCCCGTCGCGTTGCCCCGTCGACCTTCTCGTCGCGGCTCCTTGGCACGGAAACAGCGACGGTCGCAGTGGTGGGGAGAGGAGAGGGGGAATGGGGTGGCGGCCGCCAGCGACAATGCCAGCGGCTCGTGAGCGCATTCGCACTAACGCCAGCGACCCCACCAGCTTCTCCACCAGCTCGCCGCGACCCCGACGTGTCCCACACCCGTTCCCGCAGCCCGCTCCCGTTCCCGTTCATTCGCCATGCACCCCGCCCGCGCAACCCGTCTGCACCCTGCTCGCACCACCCGTCTGCACCCGTGCTCCCGTGCTCCCGAGCTCCCGTGCTTCTGTGCTCCCATGCTCCCGTGCACCCGTGCTCCCGTGCACCCGTTCTCTCGAGCTCCCGTGCTCTCGTGTACCTGTGCACCCGTGCTCCCGTGCTCCCGTGCTGCCCGTGCCCACCTGTGCTTCCCGTGTTCCCTGTGTTTGCCCAGTGCCCGTGCCTCCCGTTGTTGCCCGTGTTTGCTATCCGTGTTCTCCTGTGTTCTCGTGCTCCCGTGCACCCGTGCTCCCGTGCTCCCATGCTCTTGTGCACCCATGCTCCCGTGCTCCGGTGCTCCCGTGCACCCGTGCTCCCGTGCCCTGTGCATCCGTGCCCGTGTTCCCGTGTCGTGCCTGTGTTGCTGCCCGTGTCCTACCCGTGCGCCCGTTACTACCCGTGTCCTACGCCGTGCTCCCGTGTGTCAACGGGAGTTGTGTGTTGGCCCCGTCCTCGCTTGGGCGGCGCCAACTACGTTGTCGGGTTTGTGGGGAGGGGCGCCGACCAGGGAGGGGCGCCGACCTGGGAGGGGGGCGCCGACCTAGGAGGGGGGCGCCGACCTGGGAGGGGCGCCGACCCGGGAGGCCACGACTTGGCGAAGTCGGCGGCCCAGACACACTGTGGCCGATGTGGTTGCCTGGTCGACCAAGTTACCCGGGAGACGGGTTCTGTGGGATGCACGACAGTCGAGTAGGAGTTCCTGGCAAAGCGGACCTTGGAGGTGGTATCCCGAGGTCGACATGTCGGATCAGGCGCAGTCATTGGCACGTGGTCGGCTCGGCGTCTGCGTTGTGCACGTGATGGGGCACAGCACGCCAACCAACTGCGAGCACATGCGAAGCGGGTGCGCTGCTGTCATGCGGGTGCAACGCTGTGCAGCCGCCTCGCTGCAGCGTTGGCACACCGTAGACTTGCAACGTTGGCAAGCCGCTCTTCTACAGCGCTGGAGCGGTACGGACCTTGCAGCGTTGGAACGCGGTCGACCATGCTGTGCTGGAGGTCGACCTGCTTGCATGCTAGGCAATGTTACTTCTGATGTAGTCAATCTTGCCAATGCTGTTCCTACCATTGTTGTGAACCTTTGCTAGTGAAACTCTTGCCAATTCGCCCCGTGAATGTGTGCGTATAGAGAACACGAGCAAACACTCAAGGAACGCTACAACCACTCCCACACCCGTGCCTTTCCCCGTAGTCTAGCTCTTGTTGTAGTAGTTATCTCCGCATGGTGCGGTGAGCGTGGACGGCACCGCAACTTACCTTTAGTCTAACTGACTTAGGTGTGCACTACCTATTTCGTTCGTAGGCCGGCAGCTGTGTTAAGTCGCCATGGTCGA